CCCCTCATTTAAAGATAAACGTTTGACGAATTCATTAAAACTGTGAAACCATAAAAGTTGTTCCAAAACAGAGCATCACAGAGAATCATTCCACCATGGTCAGCTTACACTGTGAGAGAGAAAGACAACTTCTTACTGGTAAATGTGAAATTCTGCGACCCACTTGTAAGAGGCATCTAGCATCCAAAGTGGTCTCATTCCCCCACCCCCCACACATTTGAATAAATCGTATAACATTCCGGTAATCGTTTCTGACCTGTTGTTCAACGAGCTGCATTTGGCTCATATCATTGGACATGAGGGGTGCGGAATCCATGTGGTCCATATCTATGGCCACTGCTGAGTCACCACCTTGTCCCATGCCCCTTGCTGCGTTGGATCTCTGCAGCACAGAGCCTGATAATGAAGGAGGTAAGCTGTCTACTGCAGCACCTTGGGAGAACTGCTCTCTCCTCTCCTTCTGCTGTTTTAGATTCTAGATGCATTAAAGGTAAAAAATGTTAACTAATTATCCATCAAGCAGGTGATAAAAAAAAAACATACTTATGAGTGTCTCGAGCTGAGTTTCGAGGGTCTCGATTCTCGACTCGAACGTCTCGGAACTCGACTGGAGTGAAATATTATTGGAAGAAGCAGGACGAGACAAATATAAATGTCAACAAAACGACAGGTATTTTTAATCAAGATGACGGATCTCTCTCCATGTGCTAGTCACGTGACATACGTACACATAATACACAGGGATACCATACTATACCTCCCCTTAAAGCTTTTACAGTAATCAAACAAACAATTATAAACGACATATCACACAGTATAAGGGTCTACTGTAAACAAAAGCAATGTTCAAATGTTCAACGTTTCCTGAATAAGTCTTTGCCGGGGATTCACTGCTCTCCCTGAGCACGTAATCTGCACTTTCGGGGTGTCTGATTCAGCTTTGTAGCAGCTCTCAGTAGGCTAGGTCGCAGCTGTGGTCAGGTCTTTGCTGGCGGGCACTTGATTTTTTTTCTCAGTATTTCTGTCTCAGTATTTCTGTCTTCGCTCCGACGAAGGGCTAACGCTCGAAACGTCAGCATTTGTAATCGTTACGGTGGCCAATTTACCATTTCAACTTTGTTGAAACATCCAAATTATTTCGTTGCCCCCACCGACGCAGCCCCAAACAGTTTCTTTAGAAACTATCAGCCTTTATTCATTTCTGTCTCAACGTTGGCTTCTGGTTGGGTGTCGGGTGTCTTCGCACAGGTATCTGCTGAAACTAGGGCTGCCCTGTTCCTTCGAAACTGTGTTCCCTTGTCTGTTTCAACGATGTAGGATCGTGGTGACGAGGATGCCGCGAGGACTCTTCCCATTCGATCTTGATCGCGAATCCAAACTTTCTCTCCGCTCTGAAATTCTGGTAGGTCTTTTGCCTTGTATCTGCGGTCATGGTTGCTTTTCTGGTGGCTGCGGTAAAGTTCCTCTTTTGCATCTAGTTTTGCCAGGTCTTTCAGTCGTAGGTTTGGTTGTAAATTGTCAGGGAAGGTTGGTACCTGGGTGCGGAGTTGGCGGTTCATCAGAAGTGCGCATGGCGCCAGGCCATTTTGAAGAGGTGCTGTTCGGTATGCTAGAAGACCGAGATAGGGATCATCGTTCTTTTTCAGGATATCCTTGACAGTACGTACCGCTCTCTCTACTTCGCCATTTGCTCTTGCGTACGTTGGCGAGCTAGTAATATGAGTGAACCAGTAGTTACTTGCAAACAGTTGGAAGGACTTACAAGCAAACTGTGGGCCGTTATCGGACACCAGTAAGTCTGGAATTCCGTGAGTTGAAAATATTTCTTTCAGGGCTTTGATTACTGACTCGGACAATTCACTGGGAAGTGCTTTAACTTCAGTCCACCTTGAGTAGTAGTCGACTACAATAAGATGTTTCTTTCCCTTTAGATCGAAGAGATCAGCGGCTAGTCTTTCCCATGGCCTGGATGGGAATGACGATGGCATCAGGGGCTCCTTGGGCACTGGTCTGTTCTTAGCGCACGTAAAACATTTCGTCACCATGTCTGTTATCGCTGTAGTAATCGCCGGCCACCACACAGACATCTTGCCTCGTGCTTGCGTCTTTGTTATCCCAAGGTGTCCTTGATGTAAGAGGTCAAGTATTTCCAGCCTCATTCCTGCTGGAATCACAATACGGTCATCATATAGTAGAATCTTGTCTATCACAGTTAAATGTTTCTTATTCTCCCAGTATGGACGGAGTATGGTAGAACTTGGCATGTAAGCCGGCCATCCTTCTAGGCAGTACTTCTTGATCATCCTGCATACTTCATCCTGGTCTTGGGCTTCACTGATATCTTGCAGCCGCTTAGGCGTTGCTGGAAGCCCTGCTACGATCTGTTGTGTGAAGCTTTCCACTTCCTCCACAAGATCTATGTTCTCATTTACATTCTTCTCGATAGGAGCGCGTGACAACGTGTCTGCGGTAATTTGTTCCTTGCCGGGTACATATACGACGTCGAGTTCGTACTTCATGAGACGCATTCTGAATCTTAAGATGCGTGGTGGCATTTTGGAGAGATCAGTTGAAGTGAAAAGGGGTACTAACGGCTTGTGGTCCGTTTCCACTGTAAACTTCATTCCGAGTACGTAGTCGGAAAACTTGTCACAAGCCCATGTCACAGCCAGGGCTTCTTTCTCAATGACTGCGTACCTTTTCTCAGTTTCTGAGAGGGATCTAGATGCATAGTACACCGGCTTCCTGGTACCGTCCTCTTGGAGCTGTAGAAGAACAGC